GTTTTGCCAAGTCTTGACATTTCCACATATGATTTCAAAATGTTAATACTTATTCAATACCATCGTCCTCAACATTTTACTTCCCATCCTTAAGCTACTAATTTTTTCTTCAACTAGATAAGATTAAAGTTTTTCTTTGTAATTTCTTTTCTACTTCAGCTAATTTCATACTTTTCAGCCTATGTTGTGAACTTTGGCTTCATTCTGCTCTGTTTCTGGACAGGAATTAAGCTTTTCTGTTTGCTGCTAATTCATAACACGCCTGACATGTTTCTGGAAAGTAGATAAACCCCCCTTCAAAATTTCTTAATACATTTTTCTAGAAACTTGGGAGACATTATATTAAGACCCTTCTAGTGCCCACATTCAAGACATTTTTTGATATCATGTATGGTTTGGCTGTGCAGCTTTTAAGATGAGTTTGTTTCTGCCATTTTACTGCCAAATGATTCTACCCTACAAAATCTTCAGATGATTCAATTGTTTTCTGCAGTTTGAATTTTCTGATGACTTCCTATCTCATTTTCATATGTTCTTCAGGTAATTTCAGCTTTTTTCATTCAGCAAAAGCATTCCCACTTTGATGTTTCTCCGAAACAGCTTTTTCTAGTTTACAACTATAAGATGCAAGAGAATTGAGTTTGCTTCATGGTTCAGGCCTCAGGTGACTATGGACCCATCAGAGCGGTGGATATATGCTTAGAACAGATCAATATGTGGATACACAAGCATTTTCCATCCATCCATCCATCCATTTTCTTACACGCTTGTAAGACCCCGAGTGGGGTCGTGAGGGGTGCTGGTGCCCATCTCCAGCTGCACAAGCATTTTCTACAACTGAATAAAAAGCAACAGAGGTAAGAATTTTGGATCCAGATCCATAGTTAGTTCAAAGCTTCAGCTGCTACAGCTAGAAACCACTGATTATGGCCAACATCTTGGTGAAGATGTGAAGAACATCTCCAGGATTAAAGGACTAATGTCCAAGAGGGATTGTTAAAAAACTCATTGATTCATTTATCTTTAGTAGAATTGATCACTGCAACAGCGTCTTCATAGGTTTGCCTAAAAGGTCCATCAGACAGAAGCAGCTGATCTAAAACTCTGCTGCCCGTGTTCTCACTAGAACTATGAAAGTAGAGCACATCAGCCCGGCTCTAAAGTCCTTCCTCTGGCTCCCTGTAGCTCAGAGAATAGACTTTAAAATCCTGATGTTAGTCTAGAAATCACTGAATAGATCAGCACCTCAATCCATAATAGATCCATTGTCAGTGGATCAACCTGCCTGGGTTTAGAGGCGGTTCATGTTGCTGCATTCTGCATATTAGATGTCACTGAAAATTACACACTGTAGCTTTAAATGTTCTTACTTAATTGATATGGATTTATAATTTGAGGAAGAAAATAAACTCAATGGAACAAAGTCGATAAAAAATTATGCATTTATTTTTAAGAAATAAAAGGCCAATCTGTGCAAAGACTTTCAGATCAGACATTTCTCATGTTAATCTACAATTAAAATAATTATAGCAAAATTCATGCATGAAAAAAGTCTGACTAACAAATCATCAGTTAAACCTTTAGAGTTACTTCTTCATTTAAAGATCTGTGTAAGACAGAAGAAAACATGAAACATTAAAAACAAGGAAACTGATCTAAACCGATCATCTGAAGGCACCAGGAGCGATAAACTAAACTGCAGCAGGAAGAGTTCAGTCTGAGTTTGAAGGGAAGTGGAAATAGAAGAAAACTCTGGATTAAAAGATCAGATCATGAATCATCATTGCTTTTATTCTGAAAGCCTCCCAGCAGATTAAACCAGGTCCATCCTCTTATAGAGGTGCTGTTCCCTGATGTCTGCTTCCTCCTCCAGCAGGTTTAACTCTCTGAAGAACAGGTTGGAGATGTTTAATTCAAACCCTCCAGGTCATAATGTGGAGAAACTTCCATTAAAACATCAAACCTTCCATCAGAGAACTGATGGTTTTATGTCCATCTGGGACCAAACTGAGGCTTCAGGTAAACAGATTAAAGTTTAGAAACATCTAAACTTCTTTAAAAGTAAAATCATGACTTAAAAACAGAAAATATAGAAGAAAAAAGGTGTAGAAATGTTTATGGACCAACAGTCCCGAACATTTTATCCACATGATCTGATTGTTTTTGCTAATTTTCAATGTTTCATTCAAACTTTTATTCAAACAATCAGAAAATGAATCAATAACTGTTTTTCTCCAGCTGATGTTTCTGTTGAGCTAAAATCATGGGATGAATCTGGAGCAGAACCTCCCAGCAGGATCACAGGACCTTAAAGTGCTCAGTGTTGATCAATAAGGTGATTAGAGGTAGAGAATCTGTATCCTCCTTCAGGACCTGGACACGTCTGTGGTGGTTTTCACAGTTTGGATCGGGGGGTTTGCTCCAGCAGCCTCCTCATGTCCAGCAGAGCGTCCTCCACCGCCGCCGCCAGACTTCCCGCATCCGTTTCCCTGCAGCTGTTGAACGACGACACGGCGAAGTTGATGTGGTCCTCCATGGGGTTGTAGCAGACGCCGTAACCGTCTGGTACCACCGGACCGAAACACATGACGCAGTCGGTCTTTGACGGGACCTTGGGAGGAGAACAGAGAGCGGTCAGGTTCTGGAAGAGTCCAGAACTCTCAGCGATCTGGGTTCTGTGGTACCTGGCTGGTGGACAGGTGGTAGTGAAGAGCTTTAGAGTAGGAAGGATCCTTGAAGATGGCAGGAACAGGAAGTTTCTCCTCAGCAGCCTGAAGCTTCAGACCCAGCAGGTGTCTGTCGATGGCCTGCCCACCGACTGCCTGAATAAAAATAAATGGATTCCATTAGTTAGTGATTCTATAGAGAATCATTTCCAGGATCTTCTGGTCATGATCTTCACCAAGAACTCTGAGCTGTAAATCAGGAGCTTTGCTTTTAACACAATAGATGGAAGAAATCTACTCGGCACACGCAGTGTTGCCAACTCCTCAGTAAGGAAAGTAGCTATTGGCTGTGCTAGAAGTCGCTAAATGACGTCATCGCCTATTTTGCATAATCTGCCACAGGAAGTGATGTGCATGTTATTGATGCTGTGGGAGAAATAATGTCGTTACAGAAAGACAAAAAGTGAGTAAAAACACTATATTATAGTTTTTACTCACTTTACTAAACAATATATAGAGCTACTTTTTTCTGTCCATTAATGTTTATTTATATATTTTAATTATTGTGTATTTTTGACTGTACAGTTTAGACTGAGACATAATGATTCTCACCAGCAGATCAGTGTTAATCTTAGAGAGGAAAACGTTGGCCAACTGAAAAGTATGAACATGAAAAGTATGAGCATGTACAGCACTCAGTATTTAGTTGGGCCTCCTTTGGCCTGTATTACTGCAGCAATGCGGCGTGGCATGGAGTCGATCAGTCTGTGGCACTGCTCAGGTGTTATGATAGCCCAGGTTGCTCTAATAGTGGCTTTTAGCTCTTCTGAATTGTTGGGTCTGGTGTATTGCATCTTCTTCTTCACAATACCCCATAGATTTTCTATGGGGTTAAGGTCAGGAGAGTTTGCTGGCCAATTAAGAACAGGGATACCATGGTCCTTCAACCAGGTACTGGTAGCTTTGGCACTGTGTGCAGGTGCCAAGTCCTGTTGGAAAATGAAATCTGCATCTCCAAAAAGTTGGTCAGCTGCAGGAAGCATGAAGTGCTCTAAAACTTCCTGGTATGTGGCTGCGTTGACCCTGGACCTCAGAAAACACAATGGACCAACACCAGCAGATGACATGGCACCCCAAACCATCACTGACTGTGGAAACTTTACACTGGACTTCAAGCAACGTGGATGAAGTGCCTCTCTTCTTTTCCTCCAGACTCTGGGACCTTGATTTCCAAAGGAAATGCAAAATTTACTTTCATCAGAGAACATGACTTTGGACCACTCACCAGCAGTCCAGTCCTGTTTCTCTTTAGCCCAGGCAAGACGCTTCTGACGCTGTCTGTGGTTCAAGAGTGGCTTGACACAAGGAATGCGACAGCAGAAACCCATGTCTTTCATACGTCTGTGTGTGGTGGTTCTTGAAGCACTCACTCCAGCTGCAGTCCACTCTTTGTGAATCTCCCCCACATTTTTGAATGGGTTTTGTTTCACAATCCTCTCCAGGGTGCGGTTATCTCTCTTGCTTGTACACTTTTTTCGACCACATCTTTTCCTTCCCTTCGCCTCTCTATTAATGTGCTTGGACACTGAGCTCTGTGAACAGCCAGCCTCTTTAGCGATGACCTTTTGTGTCTTGCCCTCCTTGTGCAAGGTGTCGATGGTCGTCTTTTGGACAACTGTCAAGTCAGCAGTCTTCCCCATGATTGTGTAGCCTATAGAACTAGACTGAAAGACCATTTAAAGGCTTTTGCAGGTGGTTTGAGTTAATTAGCTGATTAGAGTGTGGCACCAGGGGCCATCAATGTTGAACCTTTTCACAATATTCTAATTTTCTGATATGATGAATTTGAGATTTTCATTTGTTGTCATTTGTAATCATCAAAATTAAACAAAATAAACATCTGAAATATATGAGTTTGTATGTAATGTATGAATATAATATACAAGTTTCACTTTTTAAATGGAATTACTGAAATCAATCTACTTTTTCATGATATTCTAATTTTATGACCAGCACCTGTACATGCTTTCATGTAAGAGTCTCCAAAAGCCGCCAGTGACACCGTAAAAAGTTGCCAGATTTGTCGCTAGTCGCTTTTTTGAAAAATAATCGCTGAAAAGTCGCTAAATATAGCGACAAAGTCGCTGAGTTGGCAACACTGGGCACACGGACACTGCTTGATGTTATTATCATTGTCTGGGCAACCACTATATTTTACATCATGTGGCAACGTCCAGCTAATCATGTAGCGTAACGTCATTGGCATGAAGCAGGGCCCCAGCAGATCTGGTACCTACACCTGGAGGCAGCGCTGGAAATCCCCGCTGAAAGCTCCCTGCTGCCCTGTGGGGGATTTCCCGCTGCCGTTCGTAGCAGCTGGGAGTGAATAGAAAGAGTTTTTAGGGTTTGTGATAAAAACTGCAAGTAAGTGAATTAGAGACTGACACGGGAGTGGATTTTCACTCCTGTCCCGTCCCACTCCCACAGAAAAATTGTGTCCGATCCCGGGCCAGAGTAGAAATCTAAATCCTGTCCCGTCCCACTCCTGGTGAAATTACTCCCACTCCCATCCCGCTCCTATTCAGAATGACTCCCGCTCCTGCTCCACTCCCATTCTTGTTTTTTTTTTTAGCGTGGGTGAAAAACTCAGAGAAGAAGCACTGCTGGTTTTTGGGTCGTGTAGTTTTTTTTTGACTCGCATTATAGTGTAGGCTTCAAGGAAAAAAACTACAAAATGGCGGCGCCAGTACTGGATTTCTTTTCTTTCTATTTTATTTTATTTTTTGGCATCGATCCTAGTTTTTTTTAGTTACTATTGGTTTGCTCCCGCTCCCGTCTGCTCCCATTAATGTTTAATCCTGTACCGTCCCAATCACGTGATCGTTACTAATTCTGACTCGTTACTAATACTGACTCCCACTAATAATCCCGTGGGATTCCCGAAAAAATGTCAGTCTCTAGTACCTACACCTGGAGGCAGCGCTGGAAATCCCCGCTGAAAGCTCCCTGCTGCGGCCAGCCTGTGGGGGATTTCCCACTGCCGTTTGTAGCAGCTGGGAGTGAATAGAAAGAGTTTTTAGGGTGTGTGATAAAAACTGCAAGTATGTGAATCTACAATTATATATTATTCATCGGCAGGTTTTAACATTTTTAGTTAATTTAGATATTTATAAACTTTTATAAACCACAGTTCATAAAAACTTTTTTAGTGCAGCAATAATAAACAGAGCTCGCTCTCTGTTCCTTCTATATAACAATCCATTCTTCCACCATTATTTTAAACCTTTGGAGTTTTACTCCTTCGATATTTTTTTGTCATATGCCGAAGCTCCCAAAAAAACTCCTGGATCAGCTTTCTGCTTGGTTGATGCTCCGGCATCCACCGCCAAACGTCCAATTTTCTGAATCGAAACTTTTCGACACATCGGAAAACTGTATTAATATTGTTTCGATAATGTTTCACTGAATACTGACACCTGCTGGACATTTGAAAACGCTACAGTTAGACTCTGACAGAGTAAACTGACACTGATTGGATGACCTATAATATTAAATCATATTTAAAAACATTGTTTGCTTTGATGTATTATTTCATATTTTGGTATAAATGGAAAATATATTTATTATGTTCACATAGATTTTTAGATAATCCATCAGTTTTAACAAAGCATTAAAATTTAAGAGAGCATTTGGGACTAGGATTTATTTATTTATTTAAGATAACAGAACAGGAAACTAAGAGTCATAACTGTTATAACAAAGATCAAATATGAGATCAGAATCGTCCCGCTCTTTTCTCTTTAGGATGATCCATTTTTCTTGATTAATTTGATGACAAACCGCAAAAGTGTTAATTTTTTTTTTTTTTTTTGGCAGCATCATGTTGACTATGGAGGACCAACTATGCCATATTTAAAAATAAATACAGAAATAAATAATGTTCAATAAATATATAGGCATACAATTAATTGCCAACAAAAATACAATCAACAAATAAATATAAGTAGAAATTAAATTATACAGTGAGACATAAATGTATATAACTCTTTTAATTAGCTTCTTTATTTATTTGCCTTTGTAATATTTACCTTATTTATTTTTTTGTCCTTTATATATTTTTTTACATTTCTCTCTGCCCTTTTTACATTTCTCTCTGCCCTTTTTACATTTCTCTCTGCCCTTTTTACATTTCTCTCTGCCCTTTTTACATTTCTCTGTGCATTTTTGTCTCATTATGCAAATGAGGAGGGGGCGTGTCCTAGAGAGTCAACTTCTGCTCATTGGTTGGCGGTCCATCTAAGTTAAATGTTCTCTTTTCTGTTGCTGTTGTTCAATAAAAGTACGTTTTAAGATTATTTGAGGTGAGAACATTATATTTTAAACATCGCCATATGGCCCATTCACAGATTCAACCAGCAGAGCTCCGAAGCTAACGGCAGCCCGCCTGCAGCGGCCCTCTCTCGGCATGGCCATGTGTGAAGCGTGTTGGTTAGCATTTTACTACATCGGTCAAATCTATGCCCAGAGAGGGCCGCTGCAGATGGGCTGCTGTTAGCTTCAGAGCTCCGCTGGTGCCGCGGTCCTCTCAAGTTCGGAACATTTTCTTTTAAATTACGCTTTAAATCTGTGAATGGGCCATATGGCATAGTTGGTTCTCCATAGTTGACAGATGCGCATATAAATACAATTTAGTGCTTCAGTCAGTGCCAAACAGCTCCTGTATCGGTCACGTGACTTTCTTGAAACTATATGTGCACCGACGCAGTATTTTGCTTTTAGAGCTCGACACAAACGGTGACGCATCCAGTGTTGCTGGACCCATCGTCAAGCTCCAGCATTGAACGCTTAAACGCGCCGCTGGACCTCTTCACGCCTTCTCCCATAGACAACACTACAGAAAATTTTCCCGATGTGAGCCCAGCTTTAGTCTTTATGTTCACTGACATCATTTATCTCCATGCAGCGACTCGTTAAAGGCGTCCAGCAGGTTGTGAATTTATTGTTTTTAAACCAAACGTAAAGGTCTGCTGTGAATACTCACCATGCTGGTGTAGGATCGGTGCGCCTTCACAGCTTTCTCCATTAGGTCCAGTTTCTCCTGGTTCTGGTGTCAAACAGAAGAAGATGTTGGAATAAAGCTTCATGTTCAGAACATTCACGTCATTAAATCCTAAAAATATCTGAATTTATCCATCTTCAGGTTTTATTCGTTACAAAGACGGACTTTATCAGCAGCTGCTGACCTGTTTGCTGGGATCATCGAAGGCCTTAACGAAGGCGGCCGAGGCGTTTGAGGCGGATCGGATCGTATCGGTGCGACCCAGTCGGAACATTCTCAGAGAGGCGCTTTCATACGTAGCGCAGCAGCGCCGGTATTTCCTGGGAACCAAGAACAGGACAAACTGAGAGATGATAGCAGCACTAAAGGTACCAGAAGCGGTCTAGTGATGACAGTTTCAAAGCCTCATGAACCAATGAACCAATTTAACACAATCTGCAAAAACTCCACACATTTGCTACAGTTTAGAATGGCGGCATCTGCTGGGTAGCTATGAGAACTACAACTACAAATTTTTTCACGGCTGAAATGGTTTGCTCCATAATAATAGTATTAATAAGGATTATATACATAAATAATTATGAAAAAATTGTCTGACCTGTGAAATTGCAATATGATAAACAGACCTTCTAATGCATAACAGCTATGTGACGGTGTGATCCTTTAACTATGGCTCCCAATTCTAATCCATCCTGGTTTCCAAACTGCATATGTATTCGATTGGCGTACAGATTAACCCGCACGCATCGCAGCTGAGAGATTCTGTGATCAAATCCATCTCTGTTGCATATCTGTATTTCGTTTTTGGCTACTTTATGTTAATTAGGACACTTCACGCCTGTGCAGCCTAATATTAGAGTGGGCTGCACCTACAGCTATATAAACACATTAACAAATTATCCTTTAATCTGCAATTCCCAACTGATTAATTCTACCCCTAGTGGCCAGTGAGTGCATTGCATTGCAGGTAAAATAGGGCTGGGATCTGTTCTACTTTGTGAGGACCAAATAAAAAAATTAAACAAGCTTTTATCAACCAAAAAGTACATTTTTCTTATATGTTTGGGTTGACAGAATCTGGCTTGTTATGGGAAGAAGTATGTCTCGTCTACAAAAACTTTGTCAGTCAATATGCTCTATCAAGAACTCCTCAAGTGGAAAAGTTGTAGTTTTACCTGCTTTCATTTGGTAAAATATCTTCTTTAAGGATCCTTTGGGTGTTTGCTTATTAATCGAAAAAATAATCGACAGATGAATCAATTAGCAAAAATAATCGTTAATTGTAGCCCTAGGGTGTGTAGGTGTGTGTCTCTGTATATTTTAGATCTATGTGCATGAAGCAAAATATTCAGAATAAATTCTAAACTAGACCTAAACTAGTGATAGTTGCTGGAAATGGGCCTCTATACACCTATGTAGATATTGCACCAAAAACCAGACATTTGCAGCTAGAATAGTCATTTACCACATTAGCGATGTATAGAGTGTATTTCTTTAAAGTTAAGATTAGTTTACAGTTATCTTTATTGAAAAGTACAGTGTTTTTCCTTCAAAAATAAGGACATTTCAATGTGACCCCAAACTTTAACGGTAGTATATATATATATACATAACGAGGCTTCGTTTGCAGGGGTCATGTGACCGAGGTGCACTTGAAACAATTTTTAGCAACAGTTCTGCTTCAAAAATGATCAAAGTTCGACCGACTGGAGCCGAACATCCCTGAACCGGTCCTGTTCTCACCTGTAGTAGGCCAGCTGCAGGGCGATCTGTATAAAAGCATCTGGACTCATCTTGTGAGCTTTAGGGACGTTCTTCCCAAAGTGTCCGAACACCGTCACCCTCATGTCCAGGTCCTGGGCCAGCCTGTGGAGGGACAGACGCTGAGTGGCAGGACGGACAGATGGACGGACAGATGGACGGACAGAAGGACGGACAGAAGGACGGACAGATGGACGGACAGAAGGACGGACAGAAGGACGTCCACCAGGCGGCTCATCCTGCCGCTGTCACCTGTTCATGCTGAGCTTTGCCTCCTCGATGTCCTGCTTGATCTCAGCCGTGACGTTGAAGGGAAGTCTTTGCGGGACGGGAAGAGACCCAGCAGGAGCTCCGGGTGCCTCAGGCTTCCTCCTGTTTCCATGGTAACGGGAGAAAAAACACCAAATGGAAAGGATTTAATTTACAGGAAGGTAAAGATAACCTAATAAAAAGTCAGAATTATGAGATATTCGACTTTAAAACGTTGTAACTCAGAATTATGAATTTTTATTTGGCATTTTTTTATTTTAATGTGGCGGAAACAGGCTTCCATATATTTAACGTTCTGTTAGAACAATAGTTTTTTGGATAAAATCTTTATTTCTGAGCTTCGTCTGGTTGGTTTGGGTTTCTATGTCACTGACGTGAACTCCACCACATGGTCGATCAGCGCCACGATGGGGGGGCCCTCAGCAGGAGCGTGCTCATAGTTCACTCCACAGGTTCCATCTTCTCCAACAATGAACTAAAGGAACCAGAAACATGTACTGGTCAGTGAAGCAAACAGCTCTCTGTGCTTCAGCCTTTCTATAACGACCTGAGCTTAAATTGGACCAGCCGGTCCGGTCCGGTTACCTGCAGCGTCTTGTCGAACCAGCGGTTTCCACTGTAGCCCCGGCTGCCTCCTCCATGCAGCATCTGGACGGCGGCAGAGCTGCGGTAAAGCTCACCGGCCGCCTCGGACGTAACTCCATCCAGACACAGCGTGAAGATGCTCCTCTGGATCGCCGAGACCGAATCTTTGTTGGTCTTATCTGGACCCAGAGGACAGAGGAATCAGATATTAAGATGTTCTGGATGTTTTTACATGAATTATCCCTCCTGCTAACATTTGTTCAGTAACTGAGGCCTTAAATCTTTATCTGTTATTAAAAGATGCTTTATTAGTTGAATATCTGGACAGTTTTCATTTCAGACCAGGATAAACTCATTAAATAGATTAGATAATATTAGAAACCAGTCATACGGTTCAGATGTTCATGGTTTCTCTGGTTTTTGTGACATTTATTCTGATGAAAACCATCTTTTACCATCTGAAACTCTAATTCTCTGCTCCATGACTGACATCTAGTGGTAGAAGGGGTGAATTACATAATAGTGAGGAAATAAACCTCAGTAATAAAAAGGTGGAGAGGATTTTATCCTTAATTTTCTGAGCCACAGTAATCCAGGCTTTAGGCTCGGTTCTGACCCGCAGACGTCGGTCTGTGACGAACCTTTGATGAGGTTGACGTAAGCTTTTCCCCAGACGTCTCGATGCTGGGTGGTGAGGATGCCCACAGGTTCGCTGTCGGTCTGCTGTGAGGCTCTGCAGATCTTCTCCAGCTGAACACAGAGCTGATCTACAGTCAGTGGAGTCCCGTCCCTCTGGTACACGTCCAACTGGAAGAACTGGGAGGAGTGGAAGCACTGATTTAAACACTGATCAGGTTGTTTATTCTACAGGAGCATAGAGTATGTTGCCTTTCTAAGAAATTCTGGAATGCAGATTTACTGAAAGCCCCTCAATATGACGCTATAAAATGAAATAAAGTGGAAGCAGCTATATTTAGAGTTCCTGTAATTTGTTATTTGCTTTGGGCCTCAGAGATTTGACATTATTTTAACATCATCATAAAGTAGATAACTCAGCAAATCAAGATAGAGAAAAATCCCATGGCGCTTCAAAGAGAATTAAAAAGAAAATAAAACATATCTAGTTGGATTAAAGCATAAACAACATTCTGATGGGTTTTTAGCAGGGAAACGTTATAATAAAATTGATGTTAAAGGAAAATGGGTCCAACAACAGAACCCTGAGGAACTCCTTGGTTCAAAGTAAACAGAGTTATAGAAATATCTCTGAATGACAGATTAGAAGTAAACCAATCCAGAGCTGAACCAGATTAGAAACTATTTCTGAAACTAGGGATGCAAACGAATAATTATTTTAGGTTTATTTGTCAATTATCGGTAGATAAACATTTGTTTAATCCGGTTAATGGATACCATTTGCTTAAAAATGATGAATGTCCACTAGAGGGAGCAGTTCATTCTTAAACAGAGCCTCACTTTTGTTTGCAAGAGAAGGAATGTCGGAGTGGAGCCAAGAGCAGAACCATGAATGGATCCAGAGTCCGGTCCAGATTATCTCCACTGTTTAATGGGTCCAAGGATCCACAATGAACTTTCTGAGGTTGTGTTAGTAAATCTAAACTCCGAGGTCGTTTCTCAATTCACAAGAACGTGAGTACGGACTCGTGTCCCCGCCAAGTCTGTTCTTGAGAAGAACACAGGAAAGTGTGGAGAACGAGCAAACAGCCTAAATATGGCTTGATTGGAGCAGAAGCGTACTGATGACATCACCACATTCAAAGCTAATCTGGAGCTGCATTTCACCTTCTGTTATTAAAAGTCTCTAGATGATAATGAATTCTTACTTGTTTAATTTATTGGGGGAATAGTATTGAACACAGTCAGATAAACACAAATCAAATGAGCATTTTGCCAAATAAAACAAGAAAACCTCAATCAGAGCCAGCAGTCCTTCACACACGGCTATGCAGAGAGAGGGCTGCTGCAGCCAGGGCTAACGTTAGCCATGGCCGCTGCAGACGGGCTAACGTTAGCCCTGGCTGCTGCAGACGGGCTAACGTTAGCCATGGCCGCTGCAGACGGGCTAACGTTAGCCATGGCCGCTGCAGACAGGCTAACGTTAGCCCTGGCCGCTGCAGACGGGCTAACGTTAGCCATGGCCGCTGCAGACGGGCTGTTAGCCCTGGCTGCTGCAGACGGGCTAACGTTAGCCATGGCCGCTGCAGACGGGCTAACGTTAGCCATGGCCGCTGCAGACAGGCTAACGTTAGCCCTGGCCGCTGCAGACAGGCTAACGTTAGCCATGGCCGCTGCAGACGGGCTGTTAGCCCTGGCTGCTGCAGACGGGCTAACGTTAGCCATGGCCGCTGCAGACGGGCTAACGTTAGCCATGGCCGCTGCAGACAGGCTAACGTTAGCCATGGCCGCTGCAGACGGGCTGTTAGCCCTGGCTGCTGCAGACGGGCTAACGTTAGCCATGGCCGCTGCAGACGGGCTAACGTTAGCCATGGCCGCTGCAGACAGGCTAACGTTAGCCCTGGCCGCTGCAGACAGGCCAACGTTAGCCATGGCCGCTGCAGACGGGCTGTTAGCCCTGGCTGCTGCAGACGGGCTAACGTTAGCCATGGCCGCTGCAGACGGGCTAACGTTAGCCATGGCCGCTGCAGACAGGCTAACGTTAGCCATGGCCGCTGCAGACGGGCTGTTAGCCCTGGCTGCTGCAGACGGGCTAACGTTAGCCATGGCCGCTGCAGACGGGCTAACGTTAGCCATGGCCGCTGCAGACAGGCTAACGTTAGCCATGGCCGCTGCAGACGGGCTGTTAGCCCTGGCTGCTGCAGACAGGCTAACGTTAGCCCTGGCCGCTGCAGACGGGCTAACGTTAGCCATGGCCGCTGCAGACGGGCTAACGTTAGCCCTGGCCGCTGCAGACGGGCTAACGTTAGCCATGGCCGCTGCAGACGGGCTAACGTTAGCCCTGGCCGCTGCAGACATGCTAACGTTAGCCCTGGCCGCTGCAGACGGGCTAACGTTAGCCCTGGCCGCTGCAGACATGCTAACGTTAGCCCTGGCTGCGGTTACCTTTGGAGCTCCGCTGGTTGCCGCAATCCTCTTAACTTTAGAAAAAAGAATTTTTAAATTATGCAATAAATCAGTAACATAGTAAAGCTTAAAGTATAATATTCTCACTCTTAACTTATCTTAAACTGTACTTTTATAGAACCACGGCAACAGAAAAGAGAATTTTTAACTTAATACTCTAAGCTCAGTGAGCGCTCCATTGAAATGCGCTGCTGTCGCAGTGCATGCTGGGAAAGCTGTCAATCTCCAAAAGGGACAAGTCTGCTCTGATGCATGCTGGGTAAAGAGGGAGAACAACATCCAGGGGCTTTGTCCACTCGCTGTCTGCTGTTCTTGTGAATTGGCACAGTACTGAGGCTGACGATGATCTTTCACGAGGACACGAGAACGCACAAGAACACAGATTGAGAAACGGCCTGAATAAACTCCTTCAGTTCTCACTTAAATAGGCCAATTTAGCCGCCATGTTTTATTGATTTCTTTTTATTCAGTAACCCAACAGGTTCCTGTCTTCATCATATCTTCTAAATTTGTCCAGTTTAATCTTTTTTTTAAGACAACATTCCAGCAGCGATCCTCACCTGGAAGTTGTGGACCACAGTGATGTGTCTGGGGGGCTGGGGGCTCTTGGCGTGGTTCACCACAGAGTCTCTCTTCAACCCGGGGATTCTGCAGGACGACAGCACCTCGTAGTACTGGTTCATACACAGAGGCTTCCCTCCCAGGTACTCCACTGGAAGTGTTTCACTGTGACGGAGGGAACAGGAGGAGGAAAACTTTCAGTCGCCAACCAATCAGATTTACACACAGATAATGATGCTTTGTTATCAGACAACTGGCTTCCTGACTTACTTGTCGATCATCGTCTTAAAGTCTAAAACTCCTGCGATCAGTTTGGAAGCGAACCTACGAAGAAACAACCGAGTTATTTATTTTGATGGCTTCTAAAAGCTAACGTTAGCTTACAGGTAGAAACAGTTAAGAGTCTATTTCCTCATTTAAACACAATTCAATTCAGACTTAAATCATATTTTAAACTCAGAGGGAGAAGAAGCAGAAGAATTTAGGTAACTGAAAAAAAGAAATAAATAATATGTGAATCGTTTAGATTTTCCAATGTAGAGAGACGTAGAACTATCATTAACAGACAGGCTCTGAGATACTGTAAGACTGTTACCCCTTGCTCACACTGGCTCCGGTGCAGTTACCGAGCCGACGTAGACCGCAACTCCCGCACACCCCCTCTCACACCGCCCCTTTGACTACGGTGCGGTGCGGCTCCGGCAACAGGTCCGGAGTTCACTTGAGTTCACGTAACTTCACGCGATAACACGGCCCAAATAAAGGATTTTTGCGAGAGCTTGTTGCGGAGGGCTCCGGCACGCCGCAAGGATAGCTTTCTTGCGGAATTTTCTGCAGCGCCGGAGTGTCTCGGTAACCGCAGCCGGACAGCTCAGCAGCCGGTGAGAGAGGTTTACGTCTTTTTAATGACTTGGAATCACTGCGGCACCGCACCCACCGCACCGCAACGGTAAGACCGGAGTCGGTGTGAGCCTGGGGTCACAGGGTTCCTACAGCATGAGGCAAGTTAAATTCAAGACTTTTTAATGCCACTTGAAATTAAAATTTAAGACCAAATTCACAAGAAACACAAGAAAAACCAGCTTGCTTCAACTCAACCCAAAGGTTTATTTTAACATAAACCACTGCACTAATGTTTCAAATTTTGAAAAGCTTCCCATACAGGAAGAAAGCTAAAAACACACAAATGACAGATATATTTGAACAATTATTTAACTGAATTCACAAACTTTGTTTTAGCAGGAAACAGAACAAATCAGTTTTAAAGCCCCAACATAACCAGTGCTAAGTCTTTTTTGCAGCTATTTTTCTTTGTATGGTTTTCTTAGTATGTTTGATTTGGTGATAAGTGGAGGCGTTGCAGAGACAAGGGTGGAACTAAACTGAGAAATACCGGCTGTTTCTCTGTAACTCCATTTTGACGCTTTGTGTTTCGTGCTTCACATGTGCGACTCCACTGCCTTAATTCCCATCGTTCTGAGCTTGAATGACTTCTTGCACTAAATCCACTGAGCCTCATGTATGTTCCCTGGTTTTAGCCATGGAGAAAACTCTTGGCTGGAGACAATTTTGGTTACATTTACACTTGCTCATATTTTCCAGACAAAAAGTTAATGGCGCATCTCCCAAATGTCCCAGCCGCAACAACGCTTTTAATGGTTCCGCTATCGGAACCATGTGCTCAGTTTGATATTGTTAAAACACTTTACAGTACAGGATTTTATTATTTATCTCTTAACTCTTCACTATTATCTTATTCTTATACATTTTTCTAAGCTCCACATGTTTGTGACCATTTTTGCTGCTGTAAACACCAGAATGTCCCCATTGTGGGACAATAAAGATGTTTTCTATTCTATTCTAAATAACTTAGAGGCTCTGATAAAGACTGAATATTGGCTCCCTCTAGTGGATGAAGGTAAAATTGAAACAATGATAAAATTACACAATCATCAATTACTAAGGATTAAACAAACTTAATCTGATAAACCATTACATTGACAAATAATGGTAGGTTATTATTTTATTTTCTCCATGATGCTGCCACCACCGTGTTTCTCTGTAGGGATGTTGTGTACAGGACGGGTCAGAACTCCTCCTCCATGTCTTCTTGTTCATCTTTATTGAATGACTGATCAGAACTCTGGGAGACGTTCAAACCTTTAGGTATTAATCTAGGACCAAACTCAGCTTTAAAATGAAGCAGAACTTCCTTCACTGGCCAACAGAAGCTCAACAGAAACAGTTTCTGTTGAGCTCAGATTAAACCACATCCAGCTGGACTCTGGTTCTATAGAAGATTTCTGGGCTGTTTTTTCTAGGGATTATTTCCAGTGAATCAGAGTGAAAGTTCTTTCTTCTTTCCACCTTAGATCTATAAACTATTTTATGTAGGGATGCACGATATAATCGGCCCCCTATCGGTATCGGCCTTAAAACTGAATATCGGACATCGGCCACCCCACCGATATTTAACCCCATATTTGATCAGCTTCTGAGTTTCTAAAGTCTAAAATAAAAAAATACTACTTCTTCTTCTTCCTCAAAAACTTCTTTTTTACAGACTTAAAAACTTCTAAAGACGAGGGAAAAAATATTGATACATTAAAATATCTTCATATGCTGATATATTACCATTTAAAAACACCATATCAATCTCTTTTACTAATGAAATATTGCTATATGTCATCGTTATGCTACGAAATCCCCCGAAAATTCACGAAATGTTGCCATATTTTTATATGTTGATAGGATCTGAGCGCAGGCAGGGCGTAGTCGTCACCTGATCTGTCCGTCTTTATCCCTGAAGTCCATCCTGGGCAGAACCAGACCCGGACTGGAATGGACCACCACAGGCAGCCGGTACTCCAGGTAGGCCACCTGAACCCACCACTGGGAGAGCTGCAGATACACGCAGAAAGAGTTTAAGGCCTGAGTCACAGGAGGTCAATTTCTACATGTTTCAGGATGAACATGTACATCATTGAATATTCCAACATCTTCTGCAAAAAAGTTGCAACTAATTAAAGTTAAAAAAGTTTAGCAAAAGTATTAAACATTTCTGGAAGTTCATTTGATGGATCAGGTTACTATACAAACGCTTGAATCAGACCAGATTATTTATGTTTTTAAATCAGACTTTTATCCCTGAATATCCTTGCTGTCTCACATCTTTAGGTTTTGAGCAGTCAGTTCATCCAGATTACCATCCTGCCGTAAAATATTATTTATATGGAATATAAATAATATTTTATTATGTGGGAATCCCCAGCAGCAGCTGCCTCAGGCCCGCTCGCCTCTTGGGGGTTTTCCCCTCCTGTTGGTGGCGGCTGGAAATAGATGTTAGCGTTTTTCAGGTCTGTGCTACAAACTGCAGGCAGCAGGATAATAAATGCAAACATATTCTGCTGGCAGGTTTCTTTATTTTAAGTTAATTTAGGCGTTAATAAACTGTTTCAGAGGAGTGATCATAGCGCTCTGCATCAGCAGCGCTGCGTCTGACTCCCTGCCAGCTCCCAGATCAGCTTCTCTGATTGGTTGATGAGGCGCATCCAGCAGCTAAAGTTTAATTTTTTCATCTCCAGCAGCTGCTGCTTGTGACATTTTGAACATTTGAGTGAAGTTTCCATGAGTTAACGTTCCAAAAACAGGGCGTACAATTTGTAATTTTTTTGAGTAAAGCCAGTACAATGTGCGCCCGTTGACACTGCTAGTCGTGCGTACTGCAGGTCGCATCACAGTCGACCCTTCTCACCCTGGACACAGACTGTTTGAGCCTCTCCCCTCAGGGAGAAGGCTACGGTCCATACGGACCAGAACCTCCCGCCATAAAAACAGCTTCTTCCCCTCTGCCATAAGACTCATGAACACCTAACTATATGTCAGACTCTATAACCTGCCCATGCCATTTACACTGCTCTATTTGCACTTCTTGTAAGATGCTACTTTACTTTTTATATTTTGTATCCATATTTCTATCTTAAGTGTATATATTAGTCTATTTTATTGCATGCCTTATGCCCACAGTGTTTTAGATATTTTTATAATTTTATTTACCTATTCCATATCATATGTTTCATGTTGCACGATTGTACCACAAAAAATTCCTAGTTTGTGAACTCCTTCACTAACAATGGCAATAAACCTGATTCTGATTCTGAGCTAAAAGCCTGCTTTAAATCTTAAAATCATAGTTTCTATTTTAAGGAGTAAAATCCTCCTGGTTAAATCGGTGAACGTTTTTTTCATCAGTTTAGCTTCATAAACCAGGAGATGTTTGAAAGTCAGGAAAGAAACAGACTAATTCAGCAGCAGGTCAAGGAGAGAAACCACATTAATGTTCAAGGAGGAACCGATGAGAAAGGAATGAAACACCCAGACATGTTACCCAGTTCTCCGTCCGGCTCGCCCGCTTCTCCAGGCCTCTCTGCAGACGCTCTCCGACTCCTCCGGCCTCCTGGAAGTCCTGGACTAGCCGCCTGGTGAGGCTCAGCTCCTCGGCCTCCACGATGGGCTCCAGGGCCGTGATGTAACGCTCACAGGTCTGCTGCAGGGGGGGCACAGGCAGACTGGGCAGCCCCTTCTGATGGGTCAGGTACCTGCCTGCCACCCGGGTCGCTGAGACGGGCTTCACCAGGTGGCGGGGCCTTCCGAAGGCGCATTTTTTGGCCATTCCCACCTTTCAGAGAGAAAACAGAAAGTTCTACCTCAGTGGTTGGAGGAGGAACAGGAACTATCCCTGATGCTGAGATCAGACGGAAACTTTAAGTTGCTGCAGAAAGATTCAGTGAGGCTGAAAAAGTCAAATCTGTTCTTTAATGTGCAGCTTCAAAGGAAGCCTACATTTTCATTCAAAGCTGAATAAATGTGCAGCAGAAAATTGAAGCTTTATGGTCTTTTCTGTCCCATAACATTAATATTAGCCACTGTATTCATAAAACATTCCCTGGAGCAAAGGTCATGGATTAGTGGACTGCGGTCCAGATCCAGAGCCACCTGCTGGCTAATCTGGACCCAACCTGATTTAAAACGTTTATAAATTACTGCATGTCGTCCGACGGCAGGGTCTATTTTCACTTGCGCCGCTTCTCCTGTTAATACGGTAAAGCCCTGGGGAGCGTCCGGCTCCAGGCTGCACGTGATCCAAATGAGCCAATGAGCTGTCAGTCTGGGTTGCTGCTGCTGCTACTTTTAGACACAGCAGGCAAACCTGTGGCAAGCCGGGCGATGGGAAAGAAGGAGAAGACCATGAGAACAAGAGAGCAGAGAAAGTGTGGACTGCTGGAAGAACTGCGGTGAACTGGTGAAAGAAAAGTGAAATGGCGTGCTCAAAGATGACCCTGCACATTTAGAGGATGTTTGGCTCAACCTGCTGCTGTGAAGCAGGATTCTCCACCATGAACAGAATCAACAATAAATCTGGATCCAGGCTCAAAATGAGCTCCTTGATATGTGCTTGAGAATGGCTTAGTCTCCGGTTAAACCCAGGTTTAAACCTTGCAGGGCAGCATAAAGCCCACTGCCAACATTAAGACAGAAAAAAGAAAGAAAATAACAAACGATCAGTTCAGGGGTTTATAAAAAAAAAAAAAAAAAGTGAGTCAGGAAATTTAAAAAACAATTTGGATTTTAAAATGGAAAAATATTCTAATATTTATATTTTTTATTTAAAAATTCCATATAAAACATGGATGCATAAAAACCTGCATTTTATTTCGATGTTAAATGCTGTATAAAGTAACCGATTATAAATAAAAATGTCTCCTGACCTTTACTGGTTGATGATTTTCTTTATTCGGACCCTGCTGATTTTTAATTGGTGACCCCTGCCCTACAGGATCCACTGTGACCTTTAACCTTTCAGGATGTTCTGCTAATAAAGGTCACAGTGAAAACTGCAGATATTAACCTGTAGCTTCCTGTTTGCTGCAGACTGTACAGCAATTAGCTTTAAGCTTTCCAACAGAAACTAAATTAAAGTTTAAACTAACTTAAGGGAAAAAAGCAATAAAAATCAATCAATCAAAAAAACTCAGATGATCACTTATAACCAGACTAATATGTAAAATTATAAAGTTTTAAAGTTGTTCCACATCAACGTTCTTCATATTAGAAACATTTAGGACCAACAGTCAGATGAACATAAAGTTCTATCGGCGTTGCACCTGTTTTTATTCCCACTTAAACCGACCTTTAACCCAGTTGGACTGTTAGCATGAGTTAGCATGGGTTAGCATTAGCCAACTCCGCTAACTAGCTCCATTCACTTCAATGTAAACTAAGCTAACAGCTCAGTTTTAGTCAAAAACATTCAAAACAAACATCTGTCAGAATAACTGAGCTGCTGAAAAATGTCCGTCTTAATTTATAAATGTTCCAGATGCTGTTAAATGGCTTCAGCAAACATATTTAAACCGATATAAACGTTTCTTTGCTACTTAGCTGCTTTTGTTTTTACTCACCACAGATCTGCTGCAGAAAGTCAACATTCTGACCAGGAAACGCCCACAAACCGAAGTCTGAATCCGGGGAGGATCAGCTCCTCTGCTCGGTGTTTAACCCCACAAACCGCGGACTGAATCCGGGGAGGATCAGCTCCTCTGCTCGGTGTTTAACCCCACAAACCGAAGTCTGAATCCGGGGAGGATCAGCTCCTCTGCTCGGTGTTTAACCCCACAAACCGAAGTCTGAATCCGGGGAGGATCAGCTCCTCTGCTCGGTGTTTATCTCAGCTGAACTTTAGGATCAGCTGTGCAGAAAGCTGCAGAGGAATGAAGGAGGCAGAGCGATCATTCTTCTTCTTCTTCTTCTTATGGGGTTTTATGGCGGTTGGCAGGCTTGTGAATTGTGCATTACCGCCACCAACTGATATGGAGTAAAGCAAGAAAACAGAAAACGATTCACCCAAAAAAAAAAAAAAAAAAAAAAAAAAAAAAAAAAAAAAAAAAAAAAAAAAAAAAAAAAAAAAAAACCTGTGTAACTTAAACCAACATAATACTAAATCACATTTGCCCATATAATTTTAATTTACTCTAGGTCATCTTAACTCTGCCAGTTTCTGATGGTCCCATCGGTCCTCCCATCATACTTCCAACCATCTCCCAGTTCAAATCTTTAATGTCCAGGTATTTTTCTGCAGCCTTCACTATTATTTTGATTTTTTCCGTTTTTTTTGTTGTCTGTGCAGTACAATTAATTACTTCTACCATGAAAAGAACAAAATTTGTCTTTTTAACAATAAGTGAGTCTTCATCAATTTTTTGATTCTCTAGAGGTTTGGAATTTGCCGTGTGTTGAACTGTAGGTTTGGGTTTTTCTGACTGAGATGGGATCCTTTTTGCAGCTTCAGCGTAGGTTATTCCGAGCTCAAATTTCATTTTTTTAATTTCCTCAGACCTTTTGCTTGCTTCACAGCCGCGATAGGCAGCAGTATGTTCTCCACCACAATTACAGCATTTTATTATAGCTTCTTTTCCACATTTTCCGTACTCATGTTCTCCTGCACACCTTCCACACCTCTGTTTCCCTTTACAAACTGCTGCAATGTGACCGAATTTTTGGCATTTGAAACATCTCAATGGTGGAGGATTGTAGATTTTGACATTATAGCTTATGTAACCGATGAATACTTTGCTTGGTAATTGCTCTTCCTCAAATTTAATTAGCACTGATAAACTGTCAGATCTTTCTCCGTTTCTTGTTGTTTTTAACCGTTTTACTTCTTTTACTTTTGCACCGCTTATGTTTTCCAGAATCTCTTTTTCAGAAATTTTTAGAGGAACTCCTCCAATGACTCCCCTGCTGATCTTTTTGTTCTCCATTAGGCTGCACTGAACTCTTATCCCGTCAATTTTGTTGATCCGTATTGCTTTGCCTTGCTGGGCGCTGTCTCTGCAGTTAATTAGCAGGTCTCCACTGTACAGAATTCTGGCACCTCTGACTTCTCCGACAAGTTTATTGATGGTTTTTGTTAAGTGAACCGGATTCCAATTTGTAAAAGAGTCTGCCTGATTAACGACTTTGAATATGACTTTGAATTCATTTTGTTGTGCTGTGGAATGTATGGAATGATCATCACTGGATTGTTCTGAACTAGATTCCCCTTGAACTGATCTCTGTTTTTTCCGCTTTTTCTCATTTTTTGATGTTGCTATCTTCCAACCTTCATTGTCACTATTTCCCTCTTCCATCCCACAAGAATCGCTTCCTGTTTCCTCACTACTCACGGCCCAAGACATTTCTCCATAAGCAGCTTCAAAACACGCGCCATGCACCAAACGACCATCCACATGCAATCCTCGAGCCGCTCTCAGAGCGATCATTCTCCAGGCTACACGCCTTTTTTTTTTTTTTGTCTTATTGGAAAACTCAAAATAAAAGCTAAATATATTTACTAAATTAGTTGTTTAATTTTTGCAGTGTTTACTCTGTACTGTACTTAAACTCAATAAACATTTCCACCAATCTTATTTTATTTACTTAAAATGCATCAATTCAAGAGTAACAACTGGTTTATCTATTTATAAGATTACATAAGATAGATAGATAGATAGATAGATAGATAGATAGATAGATAGATAGATAGATAGATAGATAGATAGATAGATAGATAGATAGATAGATAGATAGATAGCACATCAAACCACCTCGACTCTCTGACCCCAGCAAAGATCTCTGAAATAATATCTGTTTATATAGATAGATGATTTTCATTTAAATAATAGAAAGTAGCATACACAAAAATCTTCTATTATGTAGATGTAATCTTTCAAAAAAATCTGGATTTCTTTTCCACCAATCTCCCTCTTTTCATTCCTTTTCTCAAAGTGACATCAGTTCTTCACTTTCTATTCTTAGACGTGTTTGTTTGTTACTGATAAACTAGCTGACTGTGTAAAACTAATAGCTGTAAATATTTAGTTTGTTGTATTTTCATTTTTTGTTGTGAAACATTATTTTACAGCAAGTTTCACAGCTTGAATTTTATTGACCTTTAAATTAAGGTCAGAGAGGAGGACTGAAAGAAAGCTTGTTTTTGAAAGCAATGCATGTCATTTATATTTTTCTTTTGTTAACATCCTTTCATATCTTCCTGCCTATGTGTCAGGGTCATGGTGCTGGTCCTGCTTCTCTATGGCTGAAAGGCAGAGCGCAGCCATCATTACAGACCAACACAGACACTCAGCCATGAACCTTAACCTGCATAACTTTACCTGCTGTCATGTTTTTGGCTCTGGGAGGAAACAGGAGTAAACAAAAGCATCAAACCTATCGAACCCAAGACTTTCTGAAACATTATAAGATGATTCATTGATTAATTTATTGATTAGTAATGGATTTCAAAGATTCATTCACTGTCAAATTTAATTTTCAGGAACTCTTTCCAATTAAAAAAAAAATGCCATATTTAATTCTCTTATGGTTTGTAACATTTCATAACAGTGCTGTTTAGATGCTCTCATAATAAAAGCCCGGTTAATAAAGTTTTCACTCTATCTTTGTGAAGGTTTTATTTTTTTTAAATCTCTTAGCCTATTGATTACAGTAGGTTTATCAAAATTTAAATTATCCAATATTATTGTTAGAATCCTTTCAAATTATTGAACACGTTTTGCAGTTTTTTAAATCTTTATTGTAGTTAAAGAATACATAATTACTACAACAATATACAAATAACATATATACATCGGGTTATGCCACAATAAATAAGTATATAAGGTCAGAAGAAAAGAAGGAATAAAAAAAAAAATTGGCAGTTCATATTTAACCCTTTATATGACCTACTGCAAATTAAGTTGGAAACAAAAAAAGCCAAGAAAAGAAGGTAAAAAGTTAATTAAAAAGTTAAAAAGTAAAGTTAAAAAGTTAATAAGCCTAATTAACAATTATATTTAGGATTATAAACAAAAAAATTTAAGTGCCAGTATCAGCATTAATGCCTCTAAGGTTATGTTGTACCAAAAAAATTTGTTTCTTTCACTCTCAGTGTTTTTCATGAATTTCTTATTGAAGCACTTTTGTTATTTTTCTTAAAATATTCGGGCAGGTTTGCGTTTCCTGTTATTACACTGACATTACTTTTGCCATCAAAATATCCATATTTTTTTAATGTTACAAAGGTAATAAGTTCTTGTCCTGGAATCCAATAATACTACTGGCTTGAAATGTTGATTTTTAAAGGATTTCACTGAGTGCCCTATAAAAGGTTAAATCTTCCTCAGATTCAGTGGCGCCTACCCGCCACCAGAGGGCGGGGCGGAGCTGTGACTGTATTAAACCTCGTGATCAGACCGTAGAAGAAGAGCGCGGTTCGCCATGGCGGAAACCGGGCAGCAGGCAGGTAAATATCTAATGATGTTTCTGCTCTCTGTCACTAGTTTATGGGTTAAACTGGGAGCACTGGTTCCTCTCCCTGTAATTAAGCTGCTTTTCTGAATTATATCGGTGATGTTTGTCCGCTGAAGGTTATTACTGGTTTATTTGAAGCTGAATCTGTTTTCATATTTCAGAGTTTCAGACTTGTTCTGTAAATATGTTAGTTTTTGACCTCTCTAGCAGAGCATTAATAACTATTTCAGGTTATTTCACCCTTTTTATTTGTTTAATACTTTGTAATTTTAACATCTATGCGATTTAAAGCCTTTATTTGCTGCAGACCGAGCGGCTGAAGAAGAATATCTGTTTTGTTTATGTAAGAGAAAATATTTCAGCTTTAATTCTGCAGCAGTTTTAAAACATTACAAAAAATACGAAGCTATTAGTGTTTAAATTTGATAACATACTTTATTGCATATTTATTTAATTTATTATTTCAATTCAGTTTATTTCTAAAGCACCAATTCACAACACATGTCATCTTTCCAGTTCACCAGATCATCCAGTCAGATTGATTCAAAGTTTTCTATCTAAAGAAAACCAGCTGATTGCATCGACTCGTTGACTCTTCAGCAATCCCTCACACTAAGCATGCTTGTAGCGACAGTGGAGAGGAAAAACTAGCCTGATAAACCAGATTAAATGTGTTATTTAGTCTGGCCCTGATTAATGAGATGATCTGAAGATTGTTGATGAGAACAACCCGTCGTTTTTCAAACCATGTCTGTGGCTATTGGCCAACGCTCTGACCAATGAGCGCCACTGACTGTGACATAGGAAGCGCAACAGAAAGCTGGTGAGGGAGTGTAAATAAACAGCCTGTTGGTAAAACTGCGAATACGTCCTTCTTAAAAATGAATGAGCGTAGAGCCGCTTCGTGCTCACATTTCAACAAAAACCCAAAGTCTAATGCTTCCAAACTGATTTCAAAGCTGAGACAAAGGAGAACTGTTCAATAGTTGCCATCTTCCTTGTTGTGCTTTCTCCAGAGTTGCGCAGCTTTGTCGTCACACCCTAACCCCGCTTGCTTTTTCATTCAGAAATTCAAAGCACATCTCTGCGTTGTGATTGGCCCGCCAGTTCTAGGGCCTGGAGCATTGATCGAGGTTAGATCACTCGCTGGCAATAATGATTTTGTCCGCTGGCAGGTGGAGATAGTTTACTAGCCTAGAAAAACTCCCTTTTAACAGGAAGAAACCTCCAGCAGAACCAGGCTCAGTGTGAGCGGCCATCTGCTGAGGCCCACTGGGGTTCAAGGAGACAGAAGAAGAGATACAAAAAGCAGCTGTAAAAGGAGCCAGCTCCCATGTCAGAGGATGAAGAGAGCAGATCCAGTTAGTCACAGTCAGAGAAACAGGACTACACTGGAAAACAGGCCGATCTCAAACATCTAAC